TGCTCCCCAACCAGAAACAACAGAGTCATCACCTTCTTCGGCCTTTTCACCAGCTTTAGGTAGAGGGATGGCGGAAGCTCCAGCTCCCATTTTGATTTCGGATTCCAATTCCAAAACGGAAACATCATAGTCGATGGTGCGGCCGTTGAATTTTGGGTTTTGGTGGATCTTAACAACTTTCACAACTTGTCCACCGGATCCTTGGATGGAGGATCCAGCACGAACGCTGAGTACGCTAGCTGGAGTTCTGCAAATTACCAATTATTATATAACAATTACAACCATGATATTATATAGCTTACCCATCGGTGCAGTGAGCAGCGGTAAGGGCGAACTTTCCGCTGATGATGGAAGCGCCACAGATGTGACTTCCATAGTATTGCAGGGACAATTGATGAGGGAAATCCTCAATGTCGACGGTTTCACCACCAACGATGCGACCATCCAATTTTGGTGGGAACAAAGCGTTGGCTAAAATACAATAATATCTTGAGATAAGTTATATAATATTTTATAGTTAGATCTTACCTGAGGCAACAGCCACGATCAAAGCTACAATTGCGAACTTCATGATTTCGGTTCTGATTTGAAATAATTCGCACACCCTTATATACCTGAACACATCAATCTTATCGGCAAGTAAATATTTTTCTTTCAATACACATTAGATTATTTATCTAGCATTTAATCAAAATATTGCAATATTAATTAAGATTTACATTTTTTTCAAATCACGGTTATAGATAAACTGTTTACTACTATGAACAGATAAGTAGAATTCATCAAAATATTTAGTTATACAATATATTTGCTGATTTATATTAATATTTTCTGGGATTTTCATCTATACGTATACACATTTAGGCTTCTTTTAATAGTAGTGTTTCTTGTATTATTTAAACTTAAAAAACTTACAAAATATCATATAGTATTACGTGAAGCAAACAAATAAAATATGTAATCTGATTTAAATATATTTTATAAGCTGCATTAGTATCATCCCAGATAAAGTCTAAATAATTTTGGACCTTTGTAAATACACTTGGAGAGTTGCTATGTAAATCCCTGTCTCCCCAAGATGTAATACCTATTAATTTTCCATTAGATGTTAGAGGACCACCAGAATCACCCTGTGAATAAGAGAAAATTGAAAAATCTTAATTTTGATCCTGAAAAACTTACTGGACATGTTCTCTGATTTCCTTTATCCGATAAAATGCAGATCATATTTTTTGTGACTTTTGCACTGAAGTAACTCTGACATGTTTTACGATCAATGATCTTAGCAGTCATGGCCTGCAGGTTTAAAGGAAATATGTTTACACCTTTGAAGATACCCCAGCCAGAAGAAAACGCAACAGTACCAACTTTAATTGTATCTGTCTTAGATGGTAATTCAATTGGTTTAGCCCTAAAATTTAATTGAATAGAAACTTCTAGTAGAAGAATTGATATATCATTATCAGCGGGTGTTTTGTTGAAATTTGGATGTTGGCGGATGGTTTTCACTTGTATTAGCTGACCTCCACGACCCACTGTATTAGATCCAGCTCGGACCTTAAGATTGGCAGAGGGTATACTAAGAAACTATCAGTAATAACCATATATTTATAATAAATAATAAGTAGATACCCCAAAGTGCAATGAGCTGCTGTTATTGCACGATATTCGCTCAAAATAGAAGCTCCACAAATGTGCCTTCCTAAGTTTTCCAAAGATAATTGATAAGGAATTTTATCAATCTCATAGGCTTCTCCACCCTTAATCCTCGTTGTTAATGTAGGAGACATAGCCTGAACTGCATCTTACAAAATCAATTTAAGTGCACAATTATAATATGAGCTACTTACCAGCTATAATCAGTGCTACGAAAAACACTGCTGCTACCACATACCTCATCATTAATACTGTAGCATCCAAATCTTTAATTTAGCAATTACATCATCATAATAACCTTATCTATTATAATAAAAACTTTTGTTATTGTTATAAATATAAAATTAAATAAATATTTGATATTTTTTAAACTTGAATATTTATTACAAGCCATAGATCTCTCAAGACTAACTTGTATTATTCAGCTTCGATCATTTTACATTCATTATAGACCAATTTAAAAATAAACTAAATATGAATTGCGCAAAATAAATTTTATGAACTAATTATTTAATTATTGTTACTAAAAAATCTGTATCAATAATAATTGATGACTGTTAAAATATCATGAAGAAATTTGGTCACAATATAAGGAAAGTGGGATTTTAAATTAAAACCATTTTATTTTTATCTACAAAAAAAATACTATTGTTAATATCGTATAGGACAAACATGTTTTTTAGATTTGTAAGATGCAAAAAGATAAGCCATAATATTATTGTCTTGAGTTTATTATTTTGTAATTTGCTGTTGCAATAAATAAATTTGAAGCATGCAAATATATAAAGCAATAGTATTTATTGACATTTTGAAAACTCCATTCAAAATGAAATCTTGATAATTTTGAACTTTTGTGTATATACTTGGAATATGCCCGCCTAAATCACTACGCACATAAGATAAAATACCTAAAAGTTTCCCATTTGATACAAGAGCACCACCAGAATCTCCCTTTAAGTAATAATAATTTGAAAAAAAAATTGAAGTAAAAATTATTGATATAACTTACTTGACATGGGCTTTTTTTTGCATGAATTTGCAAAGGCGCAGATCATATTGTCATTTATTGTTATATGCTTGTGTTCTTTCTGGCAAGTGTCATGATCAATAATGTAGACAGTGAGAATCTGCAGTTATAGAAATATCTCCCCAGCAGGTAAAATTTGCTTCGGTACCAACATTAATGGTATGATTTTTATTTGGTAAATCAATTGGCTTAGACATAGATGTCCAATTAATAGGTTTTTCTAATATCAGAACTGATATATCATTATCACCGTTGATTTTGTCGTAGTCTGGATGTTCGTGGATGGTTGCGACTTGGATTAGTTGACCATTGTCTAAAGCACACCTAGTTCCAGCTCGAACCTGAATTTGGTCAGCGCGTTTCCTAAGAAATAAATCTTAATAAACATATTTCTTTTTTTTTTTTGGAATATATAAAGCTACCCAGCTGTGCAATGAGCTGCTGTTATTGCATGATATTCATCAATTATACAAGCCCCGCCAATGTGTTTTCCTGATTGCTCTAAAACCAGTTGATATGGATTATCCTTGATATCGCAGTATTTCCCTCCGATAATTTTGCTTGAAAATTCAAGTGAAATAGCTTGAACTGCACCTAGTAAGTTAATTTTAGTTTCAACAGTATAATAAAAAATAATTACTAGCTATAATAAATGATAAAAAAGATACATTAACTGTAATGAAGTTCATGTTCAAATGACCAGTCACCAAATGGCTTTCTCATATTGTGTACTAATATACTTTTCCTTATCTAATTTATAAATAGATGCGGTTATATTTTAAATGAAAATTTACGAATCATACGCATCTAAATTATTTAGAAAAACATAATCTCCTTTTTTTCTAAGAAAATAAAATTACAATTCTCTTAGAAATGTTAATACATGAAAAACAACTAACAATGTCTTATTAGTTTTGATCAGCGTTTTCAAACTTTTTGATCCGCGACCCCCTTTTCCAATTAAAAAAAAATATTGGGGTCACTGGTCTTAATGACTTAGTTGACAATTTTTTTTATTAAGAAATGTTTTTTTATATATTAACTCAGATATTTAATAATTAAACCAGTATACATTATAACGTGCTCCAGCACTGATGGTGTTCAATATATTTTAGGGGTTAGATAAATTGCAATTTAAAAATTATATAGTTTTATATTTGGAAGATGAAGAAATTCTACATACTTTCTTTAGGTTGATACACGGAAAAGAAGATTGGAAGATTGGAGAATATTCCATTACCTAAAGAATCTAAAAATAAAAAAATAATACATTCATGAAATTATTATGTTAATTAAATTTCAATTTACGTCATACACGGTTATGTTATTAAAATTATGGTGTTGGCACATGGTTGATACTTGGATTAACTTATCTCCATTTTCTACTACACAAAATCCATCTCTAACTTGAAGTTGGGCAACGAATTTCTTAAATTAATGAACATTAATACGTCTACTTCTTAATATAGGTATAGCATCTTGCAAAATCATTTGATATTCATAATTATAATATAACCTACTTTCTAGCTATAATCAGTGTTAAGAAAAACTAAGCTGTTATAACGTATCTTATTTAATTTAGTAATTGCATAAGTAGAATTATCCTTATCTTATTTAATTAATATTTCCACTTAGTTGGAAATATTAAATTACATTAAATTACAATATTAAATATTTACTAACAAACATTTTTTTATTAAAATTGCATATATAATTCCGAGAAAAATTGAAGCAAATAATACAATTATACACTCGCATCAAAATTTGACAAAAAGATCACGGGATTCCAAGTAATATTTGACTAATTAAGGAATGATTTTTTCTAGTAAAATGAACATTTGACATACAAAATACTATTGAAATGAATATTCAGGAGCTTACGAGGATGAGAGTTTAAAATGAAAGCAATTTCTCATCAAAAGAGCCGTATGCTGCTCCGTGTTGCCGACCGCTGCATTAGGTATACGCATTATTACGTATACGCATTATTATTTGAAAATTTTTAAAACATACTTCATGGAAACATAAAACACTTTTTTATTTTTATTTAAAATATTTTGATAATAACATCATATAATTAACAATGTCTGGACATTCAGGAATAGATTAATTAACTATATAAAATAAACTATCTTTAAGAAAAAATATTTAATAACTAAACTTTAATATTGATTGCAATATTAATAGAATATGATCAATTAAATGAATTAAATATAATGTGTAGTATACAAATAAAATAAGCGATATTACTTAATGACATTTTGAAAACACCGTTAGAGTATATTTTTATGAAGTCTTCATAATTTTGAACGTTTGTGAATATAGTTGGAAAATTGGTGGAATTACACTTGGTCCAAGATGTAATACCAATTAATTTATTATTCAATACTAAAGCACTGCCGGAATCATCCTGCGAATAAGAAAAAAATGTAAATACTGTAGTTTTATTATGAAGAAAATTTACTTACTTCACATGGTCCATTTTTGGTATCATTCGATGTAGCGCAAATCTTATTGTTAGTTAATCTTACCATAGTGAAATATTTTTGGCATGTGTCACGATCAATGATACTGAGGTTGAGAGCATGCAATATATTTCCATCCCAGCCGGAAGTAAGTACAGTAGTATTAACTTTAATTGCATCTTTCCAATTTGGATCAATTGCTTTAATTGTCTTGTTCATTTTAATAGAGTTTTCCAGTAGCAGAATTGATATGTCATTCTCTAAGGTTATGTTATCGAAATTGGGATGTTGACTGCAATTTGATACTTGGATAAGCTGACCTCCGTTTTGTATTTGATTAGATCCTACTCGAACCTTAAGTTCAGAAGCAGGAATTCTAAGAAATAAACGTTAATAATACTATATTAATAAGATCCAGATAATTGGTACCCAAATGTGCAATGAGCGGCTGTTATTGCACGTTTTTCGCCAAGTATAGTAGCTCCACAGATGTGTTTTCCTGACTTTTCCAAGGACAATTGATACGGAATTTTCTCGATGCCATAGTTTACCCCACCTATAATTCTGCTTCCTGATTCAAGTGAGTTAGCCCGAACTGCAACTTGGATGTTAGGTCTTAGTGAAAAGTTATAATGGAAAATACTTACCAGTAACAAGCACTATTAGAAAGTAACCAGTTGCCGTGAAAAGCCCCATGATACTAATAGAAAGAACCCTGACTTCGTATATTTATTAGCATAAGTATACTTATCTATTCTTTGTTTCAGACAATAAAAATTGAATTAATTCCGAGTGATATATTACTACATGTTTACATGAATGAGTCATCATAAAACATCTTAATTAGCTACTATTTACTTTAAGAATAATTAGTCACTTTTATTTTTACATCCAAATTTTCCAGGTATTTTCCCGCAGCTGTAATATTTATTTAATTTAACTAAAATAAAAATAAACTTTTAATAAAAAGTAAATATTATTTGTTATCATTTACATGTAATAATAGTTAGATATATGATCAATAGTCCTTTTGCACTATTTCATATTTTTTGTTTTATTTTATCTAAATGTAATGAACGTACAATGATCTAAATAAAAGAAAGATATACTAGTCATTAATTAGCAACAAAATATAAACTACATCAGACAAATAATGTTAAAAATATCGAGGTATAACTAATTAAATTACTCTTTTATATCGTTTGACAAATTACAAAAGATCATCAATTAAATATTATTAGAAGTAAACAAAAAAAGTAAGTTATATTGTTTAAAGCAATTTTATAACCTCCGTTAGACTGAACGGAAATAAAGTCTAGATAATTTTGAACCTTTGTGTATATAATTGTAATGTTGCCACTACCACACCCAATGCTCGAAGATGTAATACCAATTAATTCACCATTCGATACTAAAGGACCACCTTTATCACCCTGTGAATAAATGTTAAATGAAAAGTCTGTATTTTTACAACTTACTGTACTTACTGCACATGTGCTATTTTTGTCATCAATATATGAGGCGCAGATAAGATTATGAGTAATTGTTGTCTTGTTTTGGAATAAGCTCATGCACGTGTCACGATCTATGATCTTTATATTCATTCCCTGCAGGTTATCTGTACCTGTATTACCCCAACCGGAAGTAAATGCAGTGTCACCAACTAAAAGTGTCTCACTAATATTTGGTAAATCAATTGGTATAGCTTTCAAGTTAAATTGAATTGGTACTTCTAGTGTTAAGATGGATATGTCATTATCAAAGTTCCTCCTTGTATAATTGGGATGTTGGCGAATGTTTAATACTTGGATTAGTTGACCTCCGTAGCCCTTAACACTAGATCCAACTCGAACTTTAAATGCTTTAGCGGAAAATCTAAAAGATAAATATTAATAATCATATATTTATAAAACAATATATTAAAAATATACGTTAATGTGCAACTAGCAGCTGTTATTACACGATATCTGCTAAGTATAGAAGCACCGCAAAAGTGACTTCCGTGCAATTCCAGTGACAATTGATATGGAATTTCCTCCATGGCGTAGGATTTCCCACCCATAACACTACTTCCTAATGCAGGTAGAATAACTTGAACTGTAATATGGAATTTATTTTTATTGCCAATATAATAAAATTAGCTACTTACCAGCTATGGTAATATAAAAAAACAATGTAAAAAAAGAACATGATGATCTGACGTGCTTCATGGTTAATCAAGTAATTATACTTATGTTAATAGTTCTATCTCTTTTATCTAAACCTAGAAAAAAAAAGATACAACGGAATATTCCGAAGCAAATACGTATATCTTAACAAATATTAAGTAAAACTAAAATCCGCAATTCCTTCTCCCCTCTGCAGGTGATTATGCAAGGCTCACCTCTTTTTAACATAAATCTTTTTTCAACATTATCCTAGCTCAGCTTAGTGTCAGAGATGACACAGTCCAGAGAGATCGCGTAATTTTCGATCGATCGTAGTTCCGAAATATGCACAATGTGTAAAACTTCCATCTACAAATCAATCTGCTGTCCATTCTATGATTATGGTTTCAGAATGCAGAAATTTACATCTAAATAACACATCTCAAACCCTAAATAGTTTCTTTCCTTGAAAGATAATCTATGCCTTTAAATACAATTGGTTCAATATTATGTATGTAACAAACTTCTAACTTCCTCGGAATTCTAATACATATATTATGTACCTATTAATGCAGACCTCAGTACCTTATTTGCATTTTTGATCAATAAAAAAATATTATTTATTAAATCTTTGTATATATGCATGTGTACATTTTGGTTGCATAATGATTAAAAACAACAAAACATCATCAGTCAAGTATGATAATAAGTGATATAATTTAATATTAGTATAACCTTGATTGCATTTTGAACAACATATTTAATCAAAACTAGAAATTTTTACCTTTCTATCAGTGGCTTATCGCCGCTAATTTAAACTTCCTAGAAACATTCAAAATGTATAAATTGTAAACACAATATATTAAATAATCATTTATTAATTCGATAACTTGATAAGAAACTTATTACAATAATCCATTAGTCTTTTTCCAGATGAAATCTCGATAATTTTGAACGTTTGTGTAAACACCTGGAAAGTTGTCACGTGCACATCCGTAACCCCAAGACGTAATACCAATTAATTTACCATTCGATACTAGAGGACCTCCGGAATCACCCTATCATTTAAGTAAATTAAGAAAGAAACTCTAGTTTGATCATGATTATAACTTACTCGACACGTGTCCATTTTGCCAATCCACGATATAGCGCACATCATATTTCGAGTGATATCTTCGTTCTCATAGAGCAGTTGACAGGTATCATGACCAATGATACTGATAGTTATGGCCTGTAAATTTATAGGAAACATGTCTGTACCTTTGATGACTCCCCATCCGGAAGCGAATGCAGTGGTGCCAACTTTAATGGTTTCACTCCAATTAGGTAAAGCTATTGGTTGAGCTCTAAAGTTCAATTTAATTGGGACTTTTAGTAGCAGAATCGATATATCATTGTCTAAGTTTATGATGTTGTAATCAGGATGTTGATGGATTCTTGATATTGGGATTAGCTGACCTCCATGTTCCACAATACCAGATCCGGCTCGAACTTTAAGTTGCGCAGCACGTACTCTATAAAATAAACATTAATTTTCTATTTATATAGAAAAACAAAACAAATTATTACCCATATGTGCAATGAGCTGCTGTTATTGCGAAACTTTTGCTCAGTATAGAAGCTCCGCAAATATGGCTTCCTAAATACTCCAAGGACAATTGATATGGAACATCTTCGATGTCGTAGGATTCCCCACCTATAATCCTGCTTCCTAACTGAGGTAGGAAAGCCTGACCTTCATCTTGCAAATTAATTTTAAATACCAAAGGATAATATACTTTACTTACCAGCTACAATTAGAGTAAAAAAGGAAGCAGTTGATGTGACGTACCACATGTTAACTAACTAACCATGAATTTTTCATTTTTAATATAATTATCTTATCTTATTTAAATATTTTCTCGCGTTATCAACAATGCAATACGTATAAGCAAAAGCTTTGGAGCATCTTTTCACGAATAATCTATTTTTTAATATAATTCTTGAAAAAATTAAACATCAGTAATTGTCTTGATGAAATTTCTGACATTTCTGATATTCGTATAAACGCCAGGCATACCAGGACGGCCACATCCCAAACCCCACGAAACGAGACCCTCCAATTTTCCATCGCAAACTAAAGGACCACCAGAATCACCCTAAAATACGCAAAGTATAATTTATTGCATAAATCAAAATGCGAATTTACTTGACAGGCGTCCTCTCCTGATATTGGCGCTATAGCGCAAATCATTTGATCTGTTAGTCTAGTATGGGGAAATCTCTTTTTACAATCTTTCATGGATATAACTTGCACTTGAATAGCTAGAAGCTGCTTTGAGTATTGCCCTTTTTCCGCCACCTTTCCCCAACCAGTAACTATACAATCGGTACCAACCTCCACATCTGAACTAGAATCTGGTAAGTTTATAGTTTGAATTCCATATGAGAATGGTAGAGGATAGCTTAACTCCAGAAGACTGATATCATAATTTATACTTGTATTTATATATTTTGGATGCATGTAAATATCTTCAACTTCAATAAGTATACCTCCAACTCCTTTAAAGGTTGATCCAGCTCTCACTGTAAGATCTTCAGGGTCAACTCTGCAAATTTAGTTAATTAATTTATAATTTTTAGTTTTTTTCCTATTATATCTGAATACATTTTTTTCATACAATGTGCGGCTGTTACTACAAAATTTTCAGTTATAATTGAACCTCCGCAGATGAAATTTCCTTTCTTGTATAATGCTACCATATAAGGAAATTCCTCAATTATAACATTTTCTCCACCCAAAATTCTACCACCCAAAGGCTGTAGATTTAGAAGCGCTAAAAAATACAATATACACATATAAAATAAATTAGTGATTCACATACCAGTTGCCACGGCTAATAACATTGAAGTTAACATGAACTTTAACATAGTTTCACTGTTATCCCGAGCTATGACAAATCGCATTTATATAAGAGTTCGGTTAATGTATTTTTTTTGTTCATTTTATATTCTCATTATTAGTTGATCGTTAAATATTTACTACAATCCAACTGGTTTATAATCGTTTAGCCTTTGTATTTGCTTATTATTGACTTCAAAACAGTGATATTGGATTTAAATCCTAACTTTGCAAGAAAATATTTAATTAAATCACTTATTAATATAATTAATCCATTTTATTTATGTACACATAATATTGGATAATAAACTTTAATAATATTTTCTATAATATACACAAATTTGTATAATTTAGTGGAACGTTCTTCATAATTTAGATACATTTTGAGTTGAATTTATTTCATTTAATATTTTTAAATAATTATATTGGTTTATTATAATTTTTTAAATTCATGTTCTAATATCAATTTTTAAAATGTCAATATGCACGTAATACTAATTATGTTTATCACAGTTATATAATGATAACATTCTTCAAGTATCTAAGACTAAAGTTTTGTTTAATTATATATACAAAGAATATGAGAGATACATTTTGTAATTTATAGAAAACAAATATACTATCATATTTTGGTTAACAGAATCTCTGATAACCAGATTTTGTACTATATAAATATATCATATATTTGGTTGTGTAATGAGTTCCCGTTTTTTTTGTATTTTAATTTTTGCAAGTATTTTTCTTGCTTAAATTTTTCGAATTAATTAATTTTAATCAATTTTTAGACAATTTTCAGTCTTTATCGTTGCCGAAAATAACACCTTTTATTTGATTCGATATGGAGCAAAAAGGTTATAATCCGTAGGAGTAAGGTCCGGAGAGTATGCGATAGAACACCCATTCCAGATGATTCAGAACCACCTTGACGATGTTTGCGGTTTTTGGGCGTGCATTTCTGTGGAGAAGGATGACTTGACCACGTCGATCGGTCCTTTTCTGCAGAATTGCTTCATCACGCGATGAAGTTGGGCTAGAAAGTATTCCTTGTCAACAGTCTTATTCTTCTCCAGTATTCCCCAGTAGATTACACTTTCACACTCTCACCATAAGAAGACAATTGCCTTCCTGGAATGGACATCTTTATTGCCATTTTTGAACTTGGATAACCTATTTTCAGCAGTTCTCTGAGTTATAGCTTACACTACACACGTCACAAGTATCGCAAACTGCTTCCGTAGCTTTTTTTGACTACAACTTTCATTTCAAAAGTGTGAAAGTTGATTAAAATTAATTAATTCGAAAAATTGAAGCAAGAAAAATACTTGCAAATGCATATAAACTTTACCTAGCACAGACCTAGTACAACAAAAAAAATACTTGAGAATGTATATATATACTTCACCTAGCAAAATACAAAACTGCGGGAAAAAATTCAAACAACACGGGAAATTAATACACAATTAATATATGAAATTTGTTGTCCACACGTATCAAGGTTACATATATTCTTGGATTTTTGGAGGAAATAAGCTCAGCAAAACACGAGAACTGAGAAACAGTCAAAATTTGGAGACTGTGCGTTCTGGATGGATTTCTAAGATTGAATCACCATTTCTTCGTTATCAATGTATACTTGAGGATATTTTTTATAGTAAATAATTAATTGAATTATATTTTTCAATACAATTCTTTAAGTAATTAAACATCGGTAATTGTTTTGATGAAATCTCTGACTTTTCTGACGTTCGTATAGACGCCAGGCTTACCAGGACGTCCACATCCGGAACCCCATGATACAAGACCCACCAATTTTCCATCGCAAACTAAAGGACCACCAGAATCACCCTAAAATAAGCAAACTACTATTTATTGCAAAAAATAAAATGCGAATTTACTTGACAGGCGTCCTTTCCTGCGGTTGGCGCCATAGCGCAAATCATTTGGTCCGTTAGGGTACTACGGGGGAATCTATTTTTACAATCGTTCATGGATATAATTTGCACGTAAACAGCTAGAAGCTGTTTTGAGAATAGCCCTTTTTCCGCCACCATTCCCCAACCAGTAACTATGCAATCCGTACCAACCTTCACAGCAGAACCAGCATCTGGTAAGTTTATAGTTTGAATTCCATATGAGAATGATAGAGAAGAACTTAACTTCAAAAGACTGATATCATATTTTTTACTTGTATTTATGTATTTTGGATGCTTGTAAATCTCTTCTACTTCAATAAGTATACCTCCAACTCCTTTATAAGTTGCTCCAGCTCTTACGGTAAGATCTTCAACCTCAACTCTGCAAATTTAGTTAATTAATTTATAGTTTTTTTTTTATTATATCTGAATACATTTTTTTCACACAATGTGCAGCAGTGATTACAAAATTTTCACTTATAATTGAACCTCCGCAGAAGAGATTTCCTTTGTTATGTAATGCTACCATATAAGGAAATTCCTCAATCATCACATTTTCTCCACCCACAATTCTACCACCAAAGGGCTGTAGATGTAGAAGCGCTACAAAATACAATATAAATATATAGAATACATTGGTGTTTTACGTACCTGTTGCCACGGCTAATAACATTGAAGTTAACATGAACTTTAACATACTTTTACTATTATCCCGTGCTATAAAAAGTCACATTTATATAATAGTTCGCTTAACGTGTTTGTCTGTTTTTCTTTTGTTCATTTCATATGTTCATTATTAGTTGATCGTTAAACATTTACTACAATGCAATTGGTTTATAATCGCTTAGCTTTTTATTTGCTTGTTATTGACTTTTAAACAGAGATAACGAAACGGATTTAAATTCTAATTTATCGATTTTCGAGAAAATATTTAATTAAAACGCTTATTAAAATTTATTTCTGTTGATATTTTTAAATAATTATGTTGGTTTAATATAAATTTTATTAAGTAATTTTCTATCAATCATTAAATTGTCAAGATGCACGTAATACTAATTATGTTTATCACACTTATATAATGATAACATTCTTCGAGTATCTAAGACTAAAGTTTTTATTTTATTCATTAATAACATTGTATATACTAAGAACATGACTGATAGATTTCGTAATTTATAAAAAACTTACTTCAAATATACAAAAAACGACTTGAAAGAATCCTTTCCTTATTTTTTTTGTTGTACCTATTTATATTAATAAAATGTTTTGTTTGGGATGAAATTATGCAAGTAATCAGATAAGTTAAATTTTACTTTTATTTGGAAGTTATTACTGAGAGGATACATTTAGACTCCAGTGTTTTGACCAATGAAGTCGCGCATGCTAGCAACATTAGAGTAGACACCTGGATAACCTGGACGAGCGCATCCGTATCCCCAAGAAACCAAACCAATAAGTTGTCCGTTAGCAACGATTGGGCCACCAGAGTCACCCTAAACGAAATCAAAGTATTAACACCTTCAAGTATAAACCACTCTAGGTTATATAACATACCTGGCAAGCGTCTTTTCCTCCTTCCATGGCACCAGCACAGACCATACGCTCGGTGATTCCAGCGAAGATTTTGGAGCAGTTCTCCCTGCTCATGATTTTAACAGAAACAGATTGAAGAATTGGGGACAAGATGGTGCCAGTTTCGCTGAGAGCGCCCCATCCGGAGACGATCGCTTCATAATCTTCTGGGTAGTCAGCGCTAGCCATGGAGATAGGAATGACTTCAGGGGTGACTGGGAGGTATTCGGCCAATTCGATGACGGTTATATCGTAGTCAAGATACATTGGGTCGAATTGTGGGTTCTGGATGATGTTGGAAATGTTGACTTCGAAACCTTCGTTCAGTCTGGAGTGTCCAGCACGAATGGTAAGGGGTTCATGGGATGGAAGTCCGTTGGTGCAGTGAGCAGCGGTGATGGCGAATTTGGTGCTGATCAAGACAGCGCCGCAGATGTGTCCACCGTTGTAGCAGAGGGACAGTTGGTATGGGAAGTCTACGATGTTAGAGTCATGACCTCCAACAATGCGACCGTCCAATCTTGGGCGGAAGGCTACAATATAACTACAATTTTAGCATCTCTGATTACTAATTTTACAAACTGCTACTTACCAGATACGGAAGCCACCAAGGCGGTGAACAAAGCTACTTTCAAGAACATGTTCACTTGATTGTATCCTAATTTGAGAATTGCCAGGTATATATACCTCAAAAAATTAGATAAAAATTACTTTTTTTTATATATATTTAGTGCATAAAAATAGATTTAAATTGTTAATTGATTTGCGATAAGACAAACAAAAAACAATTGCAATTATATAAAATATATAATCTTTTGATATTTGACCTATCCGTAGGTCATTCCTAAATATTTTGCAAAATTTCTATTATCTTTAAGTAATATCTATTAATAATACACAAAAATAAATATTAAATAAAAATAAAGTTTGAGTTTAAATTAATATAATATAATTAACTATATCGTAAAATTTACGTCAAATTCGTTATAAACTATATTTTGTAGTACATTATTATATCAATTCTTGTATATTACTTTAAAAATTGCAATAAATTGAAATATTTATGTACAGATTATAACACTGCAAGAAAGATAATATTGGATAAATATTTGTTTGCTATTCTATAATTTTAATAATTACGTGAAGTCAATCATTTGGAAATAATTAATTGAATGATGAAAGTTTATACAGTTATAAAGACGGAAATAAATAATTCAGTATTATTTCACGTATTTTACTTACCTGTTAGCTTTTGAATTTAATTCTACTTGATTAATAATGAAGTGATTTGTTCATCTTATTTACAAGCTTAATTGATATTAAATTAATTCTTTAATCTATTTAATTAATAAAAACATTCCAATTTAATAATAATGTTTATTGCAACAATAAAAAAGAAAATAAAACCTGTTCATACAATAACAATAAAACAAAAAGTTAACTGCTGTAAAATCCCAATAAAAATCCGTTTTATTAATAATATTATAATTTATATTATATTTACTATTTTCATTTAGTCAAATAATCGACTCAAAAAGCTAAGATTTTTTTTAATAAAATACATAATGATCTTCATATTAATTTATCGAGGATATGATAACAATATATAAAAATAACATTTACACAAATTCTCTTTAGTGTTTTAAACCACGAATACGATATTTTCTACCTGAATCGAATATTGATTTATTTTATATATAAATTTTCCATTTATTCTAATCAATCATTTTACAAATGTACTGTAATGTGTTCGTTATCCGAATGTAAAAATCTATTGTAAAAGTATGTGTTCGCAAACCGAATTGTTCGTTAAATTCAATTATTTATTTAATATATTTATTAGCCACAATTATGACAAAAATAGCGCTTAAACGTGGACTTTCTTTCCAGATTTACTTAATATTCCTACTGAATTAATTACATGTAAAATTAATTTATATAATTCTTAACAATTTCAATCAATTTTATTTACATAAAATCTTCAATTTACTTCTTTTTAATTATTACAATATTGATTTTATATATTTATTTTATTTTTTTAAACTTTTTGTATGATTATTACAATATTATTAAATATTAAAAATGTATTTATTATTTATGTATATAACGTATAGAAAGGAAATAATAAAACATAATTATTCTAAAAGCAATTAATATATTTGTTAAACTGTTTAATTGAATTATGAAAGTAAGTCCTGGCCTCCTTCATATGCTGGGCAATATTAAATAACACCCCTCGTGTCCTGAATGGAAATTTATCATTTTATTAAGAAAAATTTACAGTCCGGTCTTCTCCATAATAAAATCCCTCATCCTCGCAACACGGGTGTAGACTCCAGGGTGGCTGCGTTCTCCACAGTTTTTACCCCAAGAAACGAGTCCTACTAGTTTATCGTCAATAACCAATGGACCACCAGAATCGCCCTATAATCATAATCAAATTTACTTCAAGTGTTTATAACCTGTTATCAAAATTGTTTGGATATATCTACAATCGATAAGAGGTAAATAAATACAGGGAATTCTCACTTGACACACGCCTGCTTCCAATTCTCGATTCCCAGCGCACAACATCCTTTCGGTAATTTCAGCATCTCCGTAAGCCTCTTGACACTCCTCTTGGTTAAAGACGTAGACTTTGACCATTTGCAAGACGCGGCTGACGGAGCCGCCTTTAACAGTAATGCCCCATCCAGTACCAATGGCTTCTTTTCCCTCCGGAACTTCTTCATCTAAATCTGGTAGTGCTATTGGTCTTACCGTATTACGAAACACCAAGGGCTTCACGAACTTGAGAATAGACATGTCATAATCGACGATCCAAGTATCGTACTTTTCGTTTTGATAATACGTTGATAAATTCACAACTTCACCTTTCGAATTTGCTGTTGATGATCCAACTCGAACGCTCAAATCCTCAATGCTCACTCTGAAAGTGTATTAAAGCTGTTAAGGTTACTTTTAGCTTTATAATAATTACCCTTCGGTACAATGGGCCGCCGTAAGGGCGTAGAACTCGCTAATAAGTGCAGCCCCGCAAACGTGGGCACCTCGGAATTGCAACGATAATTGGTAAGGGTAATCTTTAATATCCGCATCTGCTCCTCCGACGATTCTGCTCAGATGCAAATCGCCTGAAGGGTATATACAAGATTAAAACTGAACACAAAAGAAAAAAATCACAATTCACCTGATGCAGAGGCTATAAATATTAGGTACAACGTGAAAATAATCGCGCACATTTCGTTTGCTCCGATGGCAAGTTAATAAAGCTTATCGTTCGTTCGACGTTCCAAAAAATATTACATTCCCTTTATTTGCTTCCCCAGGGATAGCGAGATAAGAATGTCAATTAATAAAAAAAAAGTGAAATCGAGCAAATATTGATATAAATTGAATTCCGAAAAAGCGAAATGAATTTAATGCTGGTAACAAAATAAAAATGAATCACACAGAAATTGCTCCGTCGGGCAGAAGCGTTCGATAGGATAAAGAAACAATAAAAAAAAAGAAAGAAATAAACAAGAAGGGGAATAAAAATACGGCAGATTTGCTCCAATTTATTTCATAAATTACAGGCCGGTCGTGTCTTCGATAAAGTCCCTGACTTCAGATATGTCTGTGCAGACAGTTGGATAGCCGAGGTTGCCGCATCCGAAGGACAGCGAGATAACGCCGATTAGAAAGTTGTTGCTTACCATTGGTCCTCCGCAATCGCCCTAAAACAACGCGTATTTCTGAAGAGGGGTCGAAGGGTTAAAGGTTGCATTTACCTGACACGCTTCTCCTTGAACGCACATCATCGTGCTCTTTAAGAAGCTATTCCCATACGCGTTGATGCACTCATCTCGACCCAAAACCGTCATCTCGACCTGCCTCAAATTCTTAGCTAATTTCCCTTCGAGACCGTCGAGGCCCCAGCCAGTAAGTAACCCAACCCAAGCCGGTGTTTCATTCTTAAGAGGTAATTGGATCTTATTTACAGTTGGCCCGAATTCGAGGGCTGTTCCTAATTCGAGGACAGCGACATCCGCTTGAAATGTCAAAGCGTTATAATTAGGGTGGCGATAAATTGCCTTCACGGCTACCAAAACGCCTCCGGAATCCCTCGACCCTGAACCAGCCCTCACCTTCAAGTGATTTACATTAATTCTGAAAATTGCATTCGCATTTATTGTAAAAAATGTTTTCTTTAAAGAAAAATATACCCTTCAGTACAATGGGCCGATGTTATGGCGAATGTTTTGTCTATAATTGCTGCACCGCACAAATGGCTCGAGTAATACTCCAAAGACAATTGGTATGACGCGTCCTCAATTCTGACTTCAATTCCATCCACTATTCCCAATGCCCCATTTGCAACTAAAAAAATATGTAAATCATTAGAAAATATAAAGATTAAGCTCAAAATTGTTTTGTATATTATAAACTAGTTATATCCATTTTTTAATAGGAAATCTTAGATTTAAATAACTTGTTTATAATATATATTATTATTAGAAAGAAACTACATTAGAAATGAAATAAATCACAGAAAAAAAATTGAAACAACTTCTTTAATCCAAAGCGACTTCATTTCTTTGGCTTTGTCACGATATAATCTGTAAAAGATTGATAATACAAAAGACAGAAAAGACAAATGAAATAATATACATATAATTGGAGATGAAATAAAATATAACTACTTTACTTTTGTTTTCATAAATAATTAAAACCAATTTTGATATGAAATATATACATTAAAATGTTATTACTTATCAAATTTTAATTACACATCATTCAATAATTTTATTAGTGAATCATAAAATGATATCAAATTTTAGTTTGAGTCATTAATAAATAATATTTATAACAGAAAACTTCCATATTATCATTATAGTATAAATTATTTAACTTTTAATATCAAGCAGAAATAGTTTGAGTACTTGGATCTTTGTATAATTGTTTCTTCGCTCAGGCACAGAAGAAATAGGTTTACAAACAAAGACGGCGGCGGAGTTCGCCCCTCGATACTAAGCTTTCTTTGCAAACTCAAACACGTATTAATATGCTCCCCGATTTACTTTGAACTTGCCAAATATGTACTTTGAAACCGCCACGTGCCAGATTTCACATTTAGACTATTGAAATTGCATCTGCTTGTGGCAACGTTTTCCTCATAATATTGTGGGATTAATTAAAATCTCTTAAGTTCTTTAAGCTAAGTAAAGCAATAAAAAAATATATTGAATACTCACAGCAAATGATTGCAACAAATACCATATGATGTCGTTTCATGTTTTGAAATCACCTATGACAGTTAATTATTAATTTATTGCTGTGCTCAATAAAATTTCTTAATCCCATTCTTATCGAGAAGGAGATACGTGAAGAGAATATTTGCGTTTCAAGTGAAAACAAAAATATTACAAATTGGTGCAATCATCCGAATGATAACAAAATAATGAATCAAATCGAAAACTCGTGCTATTTTTTAAATGCTGATAACATTCTATTTATATATAAATCTATTAAAACAATGATTAGATTGTTTGTATATTGCTTTTTTATAGTAATTTATTGAAGTATATTTTGTTGTGTAATATTGAGAAATTAGGTTATCTTATGTAGAGCTATCTTATTTGTTGCTATTTATAAATTGTTATGTCATGTGTCTAAGAAAATGTAGATCTAGTAATGTCTAATCTAATAATCCTATTATGCAAATTTTGGATTACAATTTTGTATACACATTTAATTAGTTTGCTAAAAAAAGTTTCTAAAAAATACATGTCTAAACTAAATGAGTCATTGGAATTATCTTAATGATGCTACTGGGCAAATCCTAGGAATGGATTATGTAAATTTGATTTGTTAATCTTTCACATGAAAACATACTTAAATTGAATGAGTCATTGTTTAAAATTATACAGAAATACAAGTTAATGTAATCAATTTTTCTTCTTCATATTGAAGTCCCTTTTAGTAGGTTTAAAATCGATTAGTATGGTATTAAACAGTCCAAGATATTGGACAAACCGGACTATATGAGTTATTTTTTTAAGCATAATAATGGATATAAAATTGTATCCATTTACTGTTTACTTTTGAAACATTTTGTGTATAGTGAGTGATGTAATCTGTATAAAAATAAACATAATTCATCCATTCTGAGACCTCTTTTTTGTGTTTAAGTAATTTAAAACAGAGCAATATTAAAGAAAATCAGTTATAAATATATCAGAACTGTTACATAATCATTAATTGCAATTTGTTAATAATATATAATATACAATTTTTTATAAATTTGTTATTACACATTTTTTTTTGAAAAATATTGTATGCATTGATTCTATCCTATCCTGTGATTTAGTACAAAATTCGTTTAAGACGCAATGTCGTAACTCAAAGGAATCTTTGAATACCGGAAATTAATGAAATAAGCATTCTGTCGGATAGGTATATTGTATATTATAGTAAGTACACAAGTTCTATCATTTTTGAACGAAGTTTCATATATCTTTTCTTATGTATTCATGTTTGGCCAATAAATTATTATTATTTTATTAAATACATTTATTAGTTTCATACTTACATCAGGATTAAATTATTGTAAGTATTATTACTATGAAGTAATAATTTGTTTTTATTCGTATTATATTTGAATTTAATTGTCGAAGTTGACCTTCCAGTTATTCCATTATTATATAGTGCACATTTCTGTAGGAGCAACGAGGTAAATCATAATTCTGATATTCAGTATGCTGATACTGATACTGTGAATGAAAATACAAAAAACTGATATCAATCATGTCTATAAGGAGACTAAATCAGGGATGTATATACACATTTCATTGCACGCATTTAATAAATAGGTCATTCTGACCCATAGATTCTTGTATTTATTATTTGTTCGTAATAGTTAATGGTTAAATAAGGGGTGATTTTATAAAATGTCCAAATTATAGCTGTCTTTATTAGATAGACATCTACTTCTGAAGTTGAAGGGTAAATGCCTATTATTGATAAAAATAAAGTGGTTAACTATATATGTTTTTGTCATCGATTTCAAAGTTTAATGGAAAATGTTGATTCATGAAAGATGTCTGTTGTATATAAATAAGTCTTACTAATAAATATCAATTATATAAGAGATGCATATTAGAAAGGCTTTGTAAGAGTATTTTGAAAAATGATTTAAAGTGATGGACTTCATCCATATTATAGTCAACTTTTGAAACTTGATAATAAATAAAGATTAATTTGTAAAATATCCAAATTGCGGTCATAGAAGATGGACGGTCATAATTTGAAACCTATTTCTGCAATTTGATTGAAAATGTCTATTATATAACGTCACACGCAGTTAATAGAGAAGTCTTATTAATAATCTCATGGAGTAATAAATCTCAGTTCAAATGATGCAATTCGAGCTTCGATTCAGTGTAGAGTCTAGACTGAGAGAGAATAATAAGGCGAAGATCGTTTGTTCTATTTCGGCTGGAATTAGTAATGTGCCGGAGCTTATTATTAAATGAGGGAGGGTTTAAAATTAGAATTTAAATTTTCATCTCACACTTCAGGCCAACCCTCTAAGAACTTGGCCAAGAATGCGCCGGAATAGGAGTTAGCAATGGAAGGGCAATTTCAGGAGATTTCCATAATTCATCTCGGATTCAATTAAACGGCACCGATGGGTGGATTTCGGGTTCTCCGCTCCCCTCCGAACATATCCACCAAGACTGATTGATTCCGTACGATTAAATCGTATTTTATTGCTTCGGAACACAATGGACCCATTGTGCTACCCCAGACGCATACATGCTCACACGATTACATCCCCACAAACCATACAAAAAAAAATAGAAAATTAAAAACGCCTTCAATAATTGCTTTCACTTCATAACTGACTAGGAAAATCAATGAGGTATTTAAGATGGTACAAACGAAGCAATTTATTTATGCATACATAAAGCAGACGAGTTTTGCATTTTCGTTTCAAACGCAATTTACATTGTGCTTTGTGACATTTTTGGTGCCCGGAACAAATGAGATTTTTATCAGCGGAAACTGGGGGTTGCTAACTAGATGAAGCGTATTCTGTGCTTTTAATTTATGCGACATGGAACAAAAGATGCTTTGGTTTGGTGTATCCTCCACTCCAGGCCGACATTATTTAAATAACAACAGTATCAAGACTATACATAGTCACTCTATAATCCTCTAAATCTGGGCATTAGACTAAATTAATGACCGTTCTAGTTATGGATGCGAATTATCTCAGCCCGATGAACACATTTTATAAGCTGATCCATTTCTTCAGGTTGGCCACGTTCGTGTAGATTCCTGGATATCTACCACATTTCATATCGAATACCGATAGACCGAGAAGTGTGTTTGAGGATACCAGAGGACTGCCTGGGTCAGTCTGAAAAGAAAGTGTCTTTATCCAATTTGCAAGTGTTTATAGTATTTAGCTCTTACCTTACAACCGGTTCTTCCTACAGTATTTCCGGCGCAGAACATCCTGTCAGTGATGTAAATGATAGATGGAGCATACAAATTCTTGCATTGAATTGGAACAGTCATTTCCAAATCCACAGATTCCAATAAATCAGATCCATCCTAAAATATCAACATTTAAAAATTGAAATTTTATTGTTCTAAATACTTCTTATGGACTTGTTAATAGCTAAACGATCATTAAAAAACATTTTGCTTCTATCACACTTCTTAAATAAAATCATTTAAAATATAAATAAAGAATGATAATTACTATTAAACACGTTCATCAAAAGTTACTTACAGTAACACCCCATCCAGTTAAGGTGGCATGGCTTCCAACACTTGGAGCAACAGTTCCGGTTGGTAACTTCAGGGCTTTGATGTCCTCATCAAAAGTGAATGGTACCTTGATGTGTACGACGGCTATGTCGTAATCCTTCCTGGAGGTTGTATACCTTTCATGGGGGACTATCTTTTCGACGGACTTGACGATTCCACCTCTTCTAATAGAAGGAGATGCTGCCCTGACTCTCAAATCATCAATATGATATCTAAAAATAAATAATAATATTACTGTTGATGTATACAAACATTTAGAAAAATAAGTTACCCTTTCATACAGCTAGCCAATGTCAAGATCAACTTTTCAGAAATAATTGCTCCGCTGCAGATGTGTTGAGATACCACCTCTTTCTCAACCAATGATTTGTATTCAATCGATACTAAGTAAGGATGTTTATCGCCACTACACTCAACATAGCCTGTAAAAAAAGTAATTATAAGAATTTATTTAATGAAATATAATAAATTATAGTCATTACTAAGAAATTATTTATAAAAGTACAAATATATCAAAACCGTCTTAATTAAAAGATTTCAAATTTCTATATTTCAAATTCGGTGATATTAAGTCTCAGTATTTATAATCATACATAATTTTGTTTATCCATATATTTTTGTATCTAAAACCTATATTCTAATTTTACAAATTTATTCCAAAAAACTTGTTTGTAAAAACTGTAAATCCGTTTTACCTAGTTGAATACATATCTATAACCGGTTTTGACATATTTTCTTTTTAAAACCGGTTTACGAATTTTATACATAAACGCTTTTAAAATTTATTATTTATATATTTTATATATATATTTATATATTTTAGCATCTATAACCGGTATTCAAATTTTATAAATATATCAACAAAACAGTTTATAGGTTTTAGGTTGGAAAACCGGTATATATTGAACATTTATCAAAAAAAGACAAGTTTGTAAAAGGTCAAATTCATTGAATGTTAAAGTATATGTTAATTAAAAGTATATTATTTACATTTTTTTACAATTGTGGCTAATAAAGATTATTATTATTAATATTTACATATATTTACATACCAATTAGAGCAAGAACAGCAATGATTAGGACCCTCATGTTTCTGGTTTGTTTATGAAGCAATTTGTTTTTGCTTTGCTGCTTATATAACGCATGTTCGGGCGATAGACGGGACCAAATCACGTCGAAGATATGCTTTAATTGGAATCCAACAAGGGATATATTACATTCTCACTGTTTGTTTTTGTTTTGCCAGTGTTATCGGACAAATTAAGGAACGTTTAATTGCACGACACTTGATTACACGTCACATGATTGTATTTTGTTGATGTTGTTGAAAATTTCGATTGAAAACAGTTCATGGAAATTGTTGTTAGGAAAATTTACATTTCTTGTGATTCTTCGAAGTAACATTACGCGATTTGTATAATAATTTATAGCGATTTCATATTTTTGAAAAGAACGACGTGAATATTTGATACGAAACGTATCGATTAAATGCTGATAATGTATCTTATCATAGTAAATAATAGTATTTTTAAAGCACTTGAAAATCTTATACTTTTTATGTTAAATAAATTGCAATAATGTGTTGGGTCGTTTAATTTTACTTTTATATATTTTTTTATTTTTGTAAATTTCTTAACTCCATAATATTCATATTTAATTATAATTTATTTATTAATAATTTAAATATCAACAAATTGTTTTATTTATAGAGCATTCAAATGCATGACAAAAAAATGTATTTTATACAAATTGACAAATAGTTCCTAATATAAAATTAACATGATTATCTTTTTACACGATTTATAAATAACACGATTTGAGCAAATACGTAAATAATGATTTAATACAATTTTGACGTAAAATAACAATGAATATTATTTAGTTTAGATTTTTTTTCTTTCAAAACAACTGTAATAACATACATGTTATTTTACATGATTTTTAAATAATACGATTTGAGAAAATAAATAAATATTTTGTTATAATACATTTTTTACACTGTGGATACGAATTATCAATGGAAAAAAATTAAATATTATTCATTTAGAAATTTTGAAATTTAGATATTTTTTTCAATCAGGTCTACTGTATGACATATATTTGTTTCTTAAATAAATTACACAATATTATCTTTCTAAAGGGTTATTGAACAGTTTTGCATCATTTAGTAAGTACAAGATAGTCTAGAATGAGTAATTAGTATATAACAATGCTTAAATAAAACGATTATGTTATCATGTATAAATAAGTTTTTAATCTTTATAAATCTGAGATTTAAATGTTGTATAAATAATAAAAATAATAATGATTTGTTATGAATAAATAAATTTATTGTAATGAAGATTTTCATGTTTGCCCTATAGATCATTAAGTGGGTATTCTTAATTCACTCCAGGCCGACATTATTTAAATAACAACAGTATCAGGACACTACATAGTCATTCTATAATCCTCTAAATCTGGGCATTAGACTAAATAAATAGCCGTTCCAGTTATGACTTCGAATTAGCTTAGCCGATGATCACATTTTATAAGTTGATCCATTTCTTCAGGCTGGCCACGTTAGTGAAGATTCCTGGATATCTATCGCATTTCACATCTAATACCGATAGACCGAGAAGTGTGTTTGAGGATACCAGAGGACTGCCTGGGTCAGTCTGAAAAGAAAGTATCTTTATCCAATTCGCAAGTGTTTATAGTATTTAGCTCTTACCTTACAACCGGTTTTTCTTACAGTATTTCCGGCGCAGAACATCCTATCAGTGATGTAAATCATAGATGGAGCATACATATTCTGGCATTGGATTGGAACATGCATTTCCAAATCCACCGACTCCAATAACATAGATGCATCCTAAAATATCAACATTTAAAAAAAATAATTTATAGCTAAATGATCATTAAAAATAAATTTATTTCTATCATATTTTTTAAATAAAATAATTTAAAAAATAAATAAAGAATGATAATTAGTATTAAAGACGTTCATCAAAAGTTACTTACGATAACACCCCATCCAGTTAAGGTGGCATGGCTTCCAACACTTGGAGCATCAGTTCCGGTTGGTAACTTCAGGGCTTTGACGTCCTTATTAAAAGTGAATGGTTCCCTGATGTGTACGATGGCTATATCATAATCCATCCTGGAGGATGTATACTTTTCATGAGGTACTATCATATCGATGGACTTGACGATTCCATCTCTTTCAAAAGAAACAGTTCCTGCCCTGACTCTCATATCAACAACATTAAATCTAAAAATAAATAATAATATTACTGCTGATGTGTACAAACATTTAGTAAAATAAGTTACCTTTCCGTACAGCTAGCCAATGTCAAGACCAACTTTTCAGAAATAATTGCTCCGCTGCAAATATGTAGAGGTATGAGCTCTGTATCAATGACTGCCATTTGTTCAATCGATACTAAGTAAGGATGTTTATTCTCTCTACACTCAACATAGCCTGTAAAAAATAAGTAATTATAAGAATTTATTTAATACAATATAATAAATTATAATTATTAATAAGAAAATATTTATAAAAGTATAAGTATATCAAAACCGTCTCAACAAACACACACAAATTTCTTTATTTCAAATTCGGTGATATTAAGTCACAATATTCATAATCATACATAATTATTTTTTCTATATATTTTTGTATCTAAAATCAATATTCTATCTATATACCTAAAACCGATTTTGACATATTTTTTTTTTAAACCGGTTTATGAATTTTATACATAAACGATTTTAAAATTTATTATTTCTATAAAGCCGGTTTAAAATGGTTTTAGATGTTATCTTAGTTATATTTTTTATCATCTATAACCGGTATTCAAATTTTATAAATATATCAACAAAATGGTGTATAAAAATTGATTGAAATCTTTTCGGTTGGAAAACCGGTATATATTAAACATTTATCCATAAAAGACAAGTTTGTAAAAAGGTCAATAGGATTAAATGTTAAAAATATATGTTAATTAAAAGTATATATTTATTAATATTTACATACCAATTAGAGCAAGAACAGCAATGATTAGAACTCTCATGTTTCTTGTATGTTTATCAAGCAATTTGTTTTTGCTTTACTGCTTATATAACGCATGTTCGGGCGATAGACGGGACCAAATAACGTCGAAGATATGCTTTAATTGGAATCCAATATATTACATTCTCTCTCCTTGTTTTTGTTTTGCCAGTGTTATCAGACAAATTAAGGAACGTTTAATTGCACGACACTTGATTGCACATCATATTTTGTTGATGTTGTTGAAAATTGCGATTGAAAACAGTTCATGGAAATTGTTGTTAGGAAAATTTACATTTCTTGTGATTCTTCGAATTAACACTACGCGATTCGTATAATAATTTTTAGCGATTTCATATTTTTTAATGAACGAAGTGAATATTTGATACGAAACGTAGCGATTAAATACTGATAATGTATGTATGTAAATAATAATATTTTTAGAGCTCTTAAATATATTATATTCTTTATGGTAAATAAATTGCAATAATATGTTGGGTTGTTTAATTTTACTTTTATATATTTTTTTATTGTCTTAACTCCATAATATTCATATTTAATTATAATTTATTTATCAATACTTTAAATATTGTTTTATTTATAGAGCATTTAAATGCATGACAAAAAAAATTATATAAAACAAGGACAAAATTACTTCCAAGTACAAATGTGTATTTTAAACAAATTTGAAACTTTTGAAAACTTTTTTTCGTTATTTTTTTTCTAATCTACTTATATTTAGTTCCTTATATAAAATTAACATAATTATCTTTTTACACGATTTATAAATAACACGATCTGGGCAAATACATAAATAATGATTTAATACAATTTTGAGGAGAAATAACAATGAATAAAATTGAATATTTTTTAGTTTAGATTTTTTTTCTTTCAAAACAACTGTATGGATATATATTTTGTTCCTTAAATAACATACATGTCATTTTACATGATTTTTAAATAATACGATTTGAGAAAATAAATAAATATTATGTTATAATATATTTTTTACACTGTTCATAAGAATTATTAATGAAAAAAAATGAATATTAGTCATTTTGAAATTTAGTTAATTTTTGCCATGAAGTATATGAATAATACTGTAAGACATATATTTGTTTTTTAAATAAAATATACAATATTATCTTTCTAAAAGGTTATTGAACAGTTTTCCATCATTTAGTAACTAAAAGATTGTCTAGAATGACTAATTAGTATATAACAATCGTTAAATAAAACGATTATCTTATCAAGTAATAATGAAAGTTTATAATCTCCATAAATCTGAGATTGAAATGTTGAATAAATAATAAAAATAATAATGATTTGTTATGAATAAATAAATTTATTATAATGAAGATTTGTATTTGGCTGGTAGATCATTAAGCGGATATTCTTCCTTCGAAATTGCTATAGTTTCTTTCCTACTTCTCTTACAGTAACATACTATTATGATAATAATGATAATTAACAATAAGCAAGTTGAAGCCACTGGAATGTAAACCCAAGGATTCAACATTATATGTCTCTCGTTGTTTCTAACAGGATCCAGGACTTTCAGACTTCCGTGCATATGTTGTTTAATCCAAGGCAACAGTTCCTTGACATTTGCGTAAATTCCAGGGAAATTAGGATCGGCGCATCCAATACCAAACGAGACTACTCCGACCAACGTTTTACCGTACACCAAGGGTCCACCGGAGTCACCCTAAACATTCCACCCTTAACTAAATGATGAATTATAATTAACGTTAATTACCTGACAGGCGTCCGCTCTAGCCGGTGATGAGGCACAGATCATCCTGTCCGTAATCTCATTCCTATGTTTATACTTATTCTTACAAATATCATGGTTAATGATCATCACTTCTGCACCTCTCAAGACTTTTTCCGGAGTTTCAGAATTTTCCTGTAAAACCATTAAAGTTATATATATTAAGTATATTATATGATAAGCCTACATCGGTGACTCCCCAACCAGAAACGAACACGTTTGTACCTGGAGCTGGATAGAAGTCATCTTCTGGTAGTTTTACCGGGTTTATCCTTTCATTGTACTTCAACGGATATTTCAGCTGAAAACTGCTAAATAAGTAATAAGTTCAGCCCGGTTTGCGTGCACTTGCCTTCAGAATGGCTATGTCGTAATCTTGCGTAAAAGCGTTGTACCGTTCGTGAGGGATGACAGTTTCCACTTCAACCAATTGACCTCCCTCCGAGTAAATGGAGGATCCGGCTCTGATGCGAAGATCATTCTTACGTTCCCTAAAATATAGAAGAATATAGCTTCAATGAATATTTCAGAAAATCGTAGTTTTACAAGATGCAATGCGTGGCTGTAATGATTGTTTTCTGGGACACAATTGTCCCGCCGCAGAAGACATTTCCCAAATGCAGCAGCGCCACCTGGTATGTAGCGTTAATTATCTCAATTCTAACACCGCCGACGACTTTAGGCTCAATGTGAATGTCCCCATCAACTACAAATCACAATCCCGACAGGTTAATTGTCTTGACGTAATTTAAATATTTATTACCAATAGAACACGCGATCAGAATGAGCACTAATCGATGCATTTCGGAAACTTACTAAATAATGCAATTGTATTGATACCGTAGCAATAATATCATTAATATTATCGGCAAAGATAATGAGATATGTGAATAATGCCTGATTAGCTTTGCAAAACCAAGGCAACATTATTTTTTTGCAAATACTTACACGAATAAACTTGATACACTGATGATTGAGATGTTACCCACTATGATCCCTGAGCCGATGATCTTCGAATGCCAAAACACTGAAACCTGGTAAGGATTTTCGTCAATCACTGCGACTTTTCCCTTGATCACTGTCTCTGTGAGAGGCGCTGAAACCCGACCACCGTTATTATATAACCCAATAAGAATTAATAGCGTTACCAAAAATCATTAGAATCGACAATTGTATTACGGCCATTTGTTGCGCAGCGGAGCGGAGTGAAACGCGGTTCATTTCATTAATTCAGCTTATTATTGTCGGTGATAGTGGATTTTATCTAATTTGAATTCGGAATCGCATTGTCTCTATTTGATCTAATTGTTTGCCAATACACGTCAAAGTCTACGGCACAATAAATTTACGTTTTGTTTTTCCAATGGGAATAACAAATTCACCAGAATTTTGGGAACGTAAACATGCAGTAACTAATAATTACTTTATTTATTAAAATTGCTCGGATAATTATTGGAAATGCTTTATAGACTTTAGTGATCTATAGAACTATATGTACTGATACAGTCAGATGAGATAACAGTAAAAAAATGCCAATATACGAAACAAATTGAAAAACCACGTCAAATTGATATTACATTTTAAGTGCGTTAGTCATTTTTGCTTATATCTAACGCACGCATCTGAATAGGCACGAACAAAGGTGCAACCTTAATCATTAAACTAAAAATATTTGACAGTGCAAGAGATACAACGAATACAGCAACACCTCGCATATTTTCAGTTTGAAATTTTGTAAATAAACTATAAAATTAGTATACATTTTATTTAGTTTCTTTATTTTTAAGCATCAACGATTATTCTGGTTTAAAATAGTGCGTGATAATGGCGGGTATCTTATACCCGCACTATGCGAGGTATAAGATACAATTAAAAGAAAACTGTTTTTTTTTTAATTTTCATAGCTTAATTAACTATTTATTATTCTAAAACACTTCATAACTATGTAAACCAGTGTTTTTCAACCTTTCTTTTGTCTCACGAAGATTTGTACTTTTGTTGCATTATTTTTTTTAATAATTCAATAAATGTTTGAAAAACACATTTATGCACTCTATTAAATTTTTTGGATATGAAAACATAGTCAAGTCAAATTTATTATTTTGGGATTTACGAAATATATTTTTTAGTATTTAAAACAATTTTACTTTAATTAACATTCAAATAATTAAATCAGTTTTTTTTATAAATAATTAAAAAATATAATATTTTATTACTAATAATTCAATAAAACTATTATTGTTGTATTTTATTCGCGGACTATCAAAACAATGTTTTCATAGTTAGGCAAGGTGAGTCATATGCATATGATGTTAACTTGTGTAATCGGTTTACTCAATATCCCGGACTAATCAAATAATTTAGTTCATTGATTAGACCAGTTTCACAAAAATATAACACAAAAAAAAGATTTGACTATATAGTCAAAGGACAATAAAACATTATTTATGTATGAAAAAATTACTTTTTTAGAATTTTTATTTCGTTTAATTTAAATTTTGTTTTGATATTTTCAAACTAAACTAAAGGAATAAAAAAATAATTATTAGAATAGTCAATTATAAGAGTCCTTTTAAAATAAATATCAAGTTTTTTTTTTATTAATAAACATTTTTTTTAATTAATTTGTTTTTAACATTAATTGTACCGAATTTCCAATAGATGATGTTAATGTCTGTTGGCCTCAATCCAAGGAAGCAACTTTGCAACATTAGCATAAACTCCTGGATAACGAGGTCTTGCACATCCAAGGCCCCAAGAAACAATACCATATAAGGTACCATCAGCGGCCATTGGTCCGCCAGAATCACCCTGCAATATATAATAAAATCCATTAGCAGTATAACAATAAAGGTACAACCACACTACCTCTATTAGTATAAGTAGCACGTGTATTTTAATAAGCTAGTGTATTTGTTCACATTATAATGGTTTATCAGACGTAGTGTGATAGCACCATTAAAAAAATCTATTAATATTGTTTAGTATTAATATTGGCACCATAACATGTACATTTTTATTTAAATGTATTTAAAGAATATTAATTAATTCCCTTTTACCACTTTTGAGAAATACATTTTTCATTATGAAACTTGTAAGTAAAAATAAGACATAATTTAAGCTTTAAAGACAGTATTTGAAACACTTATTTTTTACTATACACATTTAATACTTATACTATAAAGTTTCTATATAGTTTTTTAATTTTGGAAACATTATTAAAAGATTTTGTTGAAAAATGAATGTTTTTCTTTAATTTCAAACTTCTGTGATTTGTAATATATTAATTTTGTTTGCTACTATTACTGAATAAAATAAAAAAGTATTTTAAATAATTATTAACTATAAATAAGTACTGAGAAATATATACTTTATTTTACAAAAAAATAACATAACAATTTCTTACCTGGCAAGCATCTTTGCCTCCTTCTTCGATTCCAGCGCAAATCATCTCAGGTGTGATCATCCCACCGTTTATAGCCCTACATTCATCATTGCTGAGAGAGTACAATTCCACTTTCCTCAAGAATTTTTCAGCTACGGATCCTCCTTCCTAAAAACAAAGACAATCTCGATTCTCTTCTCCGCAATTTCTCTATTTGTAAGTAGTTAGTTATAAGTATTCATGGATAAAGACTCGATCCTTTGTTTCCGTAAATTTAATGTGGGAAACGTTTCAGTCGTAAATATAAAGCTTTGATAAAAGTGAGGTGAGAACTTACGAAAGTAACTCCCCACCCAGTGACGACGACTTTAGTGCCCGAAGGAAGGTCTTCAGTGGATTTCGGTAGATTAATCGGCGAGATGCTCTCTTTAAACTGTAAAGGCTTTGCCAACTGAAACCAACGTTTTATACTATTTTCTGCAGGAAGCGCGCAATATTGTTGAAAATATTACTTTCAGAATGGAAACGTCATTATTAACAGACATGGGATTGTACTCTTCATGCTGTCTAACTTCGGCGACATCGATCTTTACACCACCGACGTTGCTGGTCGTGGTTCCGGCTCTCACAGTTAATGAACCATACCTGAAAAATCCAATGATCTTGGTAAAAGGATGAAATGGAGAAAGACTTGTCCTTACCCATCAGTGCAATGGGCAGCGGTGATCACAGTGTTCTCATCGAGGATTGCACCTCCGCACATATGCGAATGGAAGTACTCTACTGAAACTTGATAAGGGAATTCCTGGATGGTGGTCTGCTCACCGCCGACGATCCTTCCACTCGGAATCCTTCCTAATCCGGGTCAAATAAAATTATCATAATAAAATTTCCAGACAAGCTTTACTCGCGACCTGCATTATCGTAAATTCGGGTATCCTGTCTATAAAACTCACCGGCGGTTGCGACCGTCAAGAGACAGGCAAGTATAAAGTAATTGACGGACATGTCTATTGAATTCACCATCGATTCTAAATAAAACGAACCAACACTGTTCAACGAGGATATTTAATGAGACAAAAATAATGATAAGATACTGAGATAACATTATAACTGGATCAGTACCAATCAAAAATAACAATTAAATTTATAATCAGCAAAAATCTATTTATATATCTGCAATTCACTTTATTTTGAAGTGTTTTAAATACAAATCTTAAACATAAAATTATTTATATTTTATTGTTAATAATTATAGTTTCTTTTACAAAATTTGATCTCTTTAAAAATTTAATGGGTCTCGTAAGAACAGTGTCACCACGTACCAAAACAAAGAACTGGTAAAATACTCTACGCAATTGGATCGCATTACAAGTACAAAAATGTTGCGCAATACCTCACATAATTATATAAAATATGACTTAACTATGTAAAAAGAAAATCATAAAAAATACTTTTTGTACAAATACAAATAACTTTCCTAGTTAAAAATCGACAAATAAACACAAATTTGTATAAGACAAGAAAGTACAGGTTTAGATTTTAATATAATAGAATCATACATTTTCTAATTGATTATCAATATTTTAAATTTATATATTAATGAATTAAATATAATGCTAATTTGTAAACATTTTGTATTATATAATAGATATAATTTATCAACGTAAATTTATATTTTAATCCGTGAGATGTGTGATAAAATATTTCCTAAATTTACTTTCATATTGGTATTGAACTAAGTATTCCAAATAACCATTATTATAAATGTAATGTTAGCATTCATCTAAATTACAGTAATTCATCAAAACCTAACATTCTGGAATTAAGTCCTTTATTTATATTTTGCTATATGCCAGGAAGTGAAATAGGGCTTTGTGAGTGAGCTCATATAAATTCCATGGTCGTTCAAGTCTGCAAATGTTCCAGTTTGATAGTTACTAACTTCTGAACGTGGATGTGTGCGGCCTGTACATGCATGTAGAATATGGCCACACGACCATAAATATTCACCATATTTATGCGCCCATTAAAACTTAGTATCGCACGTGAATTTAGGAATCCGCACCCGAATCATAGATATTTTTCTCCAGATAGAAAAATCGGCTTGTTCCTTTTTCATTTCCATTTTTGCACATTTATACATTTTCTCTTCTTTTTTTTCGCTCGCACGAAACGTACATTTGCACAGAGTTCATTCAACGATGCCGCTGATTATGTAATGCACTCGAGTTTTCCGGCGAGAGAAACGGAAAACTTCGGGCCGCCGGGCTCTCGCAACTTCAGTTTTCGCGAGGCAAGAAGTTCTAAGTATTGTGATAATACAAATTTAGAACATTTAAGATCGTGTAACTTTGCTCTTCGGGCTCCAAGATCATTTAATTTTGCATTATATTAAGGCAAAATTATAAGATTACATATTAACGTTGTTAATAAACGAACTTAATTGGAATTCTTCAAATGCAGGTATGCTAAAACTCTTAATAATTTACATAAATATTAAGAAAATCTTTAATTTTTAATATTATCACAATGCTTAGAATGAAAGATTTATTTATTACAGATTTTCTCCAGTTTTGCATCAATTCTTCATTAAATCCATTTACGTTTTTTTAAAGACTTGATATTTGTGAATTCTTATATAAAACTATAATTACAGCCTCAAAATGTTGTATTAATAATACAGCCATGGTCAGATATCCCTTTTTTGTTAAAATATATATATTTATTTTATTTTTTTTTATTACGGTATATGTTTTTTTTAATTGATGCAATAAACATTATTATTTTAATACAGCCAATAATTTCAAAGATTTTTTCAAATCCTCAAAACCCGATATTTCCCAGGAAAATTATAAAGGAATTTAATTATTTTTATTGAAACAAAACATTATTTTAATTAATTAAAAAAAATAACAAGAAAACATTCTGTGTTTAAAAACAAATATTTAAAAAAATAAATTCTACTGAATACAAAATTAGAACAATTTAAATATTATGAGTATTTGATATTACATAATATTTGGTTTGAGGAACGTCTCAAGGTCATAAAATCATAGGTCGTTCATTTCATCTCAATATCAGCTACGGAATTCGCGATAAAAATACTTGGTTTTATTTATAAACGATTTAAACGATGTAAACAACGCAAAAAATATAACCTTCACAAAATTAAAAGTATCATCACAAAAATCGATAATTGAAAAATACAAAAATCATTTTTTATTTAATGTTTTTATTTAATAAATATTAGAAAATAATCAATAATGATATAATTAGTAATTATTCTGATTTTGTGAATCTTGTTTTACGAAATTACTTCGTTAAACAAAACATCAATTGTACAAATACTATAGCCAGGAAATGCTTCTTTTAGGACCATGGAAAATGTCAATAAACAATAAACTCATGTACAAATTTCTACTTAAGTATTGTTTATTCACTTATTTCCAAATAAATTAATGTTTTCAAACCTTTGCGGACTTTGTTATATCAAAGATTCGTTATTGGAGGTAGCGTTAACCGAGATATTTTAGACAGTTGCAAAAGCTTTGTAACTTTCTAGTTATATAATGTACAGTAAATTCTTCAAATAATAATAATAATAATAATAATGACAGGGTTTATAGCAACACTCATAATTATTAACATAAAAACTAAATATTAATATTTTATAGTTTTACAATGAAAACTTTTATTGTAAGAATTATACAATTACATAAATGATTACAGACAACAATTAAATCATTGCAACAGGCTTTTGTATTGTTATTGACTATGTTAAATTTACTATAACAAGTTGTTAAGTTTCATGAATGTTGTCAAATTTAGAGTATAGAATCTTCTCCAGGTAAATCAGTAATAGCCACTGAACATGGTAAGATTAGTTTAGATTATATGGAAGTTTAAATCTCGCTTTAAGTCTTCGCCATGAAACAAGAGTTATAAACTGTTGACTGCTCCGTCGGATTAAAATGGTTTGTATTATTGCGTGAGGTTTACAGGTAACTCTAATACGGGCGACTGCAAAGGATTAGGATTGTTTAAATGTGTGTTTTTTTAAAGGACGAGTATATTGTACAAAGCCTCCACATCGTAATATTTTTTTTTTTTTGGTGAAAGGCAGCACTAGGAATATTTTTTTATACTTCCAACCAAGCTTAATATTCTTTGCATTTTAAAATATGTGCATAAAGCACGTCAGAAAGAGGGATTAGTTAACTTTTATAATAAATGTGTTGAACACGATACGATATTTTTTCGGGGCGTGTGTCGTTTTTGGGGTTAGGGTTGGAGTTGGGGTGGAGAGGAACGAGCCGGCAAAGCAAAGCTTCCAGTAAGCTCGTAATCAGCGGGATTAGGAACGGCCATCCCTGTCTCAGTGATATAAATTCGCCTCCTACATATTACTGCATAACAGGTTTCTGTTTTCCTCGTCCCCCATCCTTTTTCCCTCCCTGTCACCGGCTGCGATCCTGGCGAGAATTAATTGAATTCCCTCTTTCTCTCCCTACCCTTTTCACTATCTTTTACCTCACTCTCCCTTCCAGTGCCTCCCAGAAAATAAACCCAATTAAAATAGAAATTAACTTCGGATTCTCTTCTAGGTATTTCGCGAAAATAAATACAAAATGGGACGGTAATTGGACGGAAAAGTTGGATTAAAAGTCGCGGAATAAATCAGAGGCATTAACTGTTGGATGGCACCGGTAGGAACCGGAGGAACATCACCTGGGTCCGCGGTGAAAAATTCCCAAAGCATAATCGTATTCACGACGTCAGGAAATTCGTTCTTATTCCCAAATCCTGCGTCACGTCTGCTCCTGCATTTTATTTGATATAACTCAAATGTAAATCCATTTAAAGTACACGAACTTATGACATTTTACTGTTTACTACTACCAGTATCGTCGCTGTGATTGGGGACCAAATCTCACAATTTTTGGCATTGATCAGAACCTAAAGAACTGTACTTCTAGAACATCTATAAATCTACTTTACTATTTTATTAACAATTTTTTTTTAAACTTATTTAAACAAACATAAAAATAATTATATATCCACTTATATGAATAGATATTGATAAATTTAAATCCAAAGTATTAATAAAATTTACAAAATTTGATGTTTAAAACAAATAGTTCAAATATTATTATGATAGAAATCTTTAATTTGTATATGATTATTTTTTTTAATTGTTCAGTAATTCAAAATATTAAATTACAAGCTTATGAAATTACAAACTTAATCACAAAACTAATGTTAGAAGTATTGTTAAAACAGAACATTTGTAATTAACTTTTTATTACATGACTTTCTTAAAAATGCTGCATCTTGTATACATATATAAAGTCGTGATCCAATTTACATCTGATTTTGTAGATATGTAGTTTAGTTGGTAAAAAATATATAGTTACACATAGAAATTCCAGTTATTTATGTTCAAAATCGTAATTTAATATAGATATTTGTAAAATGATAGTCTAAATTTTAATTTGGAAATAAACTATTTATAGCGTAATTATTTGTGGCCGTGCTGATCAAATTTCTGAATTACAGCAAATAATACAAATACTTCTGCAATTCCCATCTAAAAACAAGGAATTCAAATAATATTATTACATAAAATAATTTATAAATTAATTCCATAAATGGTGAAAACTAAGAAAAACACTAAAACAAGAAAAAAATCATAAACATATTTTGGCCTAATTATTTTTAATTCTAGTTAATATCAAGTACCCAAAGTTAGTGAATAATAATACTGTTTTTTTTTATCTAAAATACTAAATAATTAATTGATTTAATAGTTACATGCATATCTTAAGTAAAAAAAAATATTATTATTTAAATAATTACAACTAAATAAGTTATTAAATTGATATGTGTAGATATTATAAAATTAACTTAAATAATGTTTTTATTTCTCCGTACAAAAATGTGCATGAATTTACCAATTTGGTATATACATACCTCTTTGTTCACAGTAACGTACAGGATGTTCATATCAACGTACACTTTGACGTTGTAAGTAAC